TTAACACCATACTGAATTCTTCAACCTTTTTGTCACTAGATGCGTTTGCATTCTGACGAAAACTTTCAAATTGTGTTCTTGTTATCCTTTTCTTTCATGTACCCACTCACTCTTTACAGGTGATTCGAACAAATCGCATTGTGAAAGTGGTTGCATTGATCTTCATCCTCCAGTGATATTTTGACTTTCGGCTTAACGAGTCTTCGCAGACGACTCCTCCGCAAGGTGGTATGTGATTCCTTTAAAAATAAACCAAAACAAAACAAAACAAAAACCTTGCAAGCGATCACGTCTCGCCCACTCTTAGCCGGCAGATCTCGCTCCCTCATTTGATCTGCATATCGTAGAAACAAAATTTGACTACAGTCAATGCAAGTTCCTCTGATTGAAATAAAGTTGTTTTTTTCTCCGACTTCGTCAAAGCCAAACGTTTTTTTTTTTTTTTTCAGGTATTCAAACGTTAACTTAAACATTTTTTTCATGGCAGACTAAAAACACAAAAATAAACCAAATTTAATAAGGAAAAACCCCCTCCGGGTGCTTAGTCTTACTGAACAACAAATGCATGCTCCATAAAAACGATGATTGTTCGAAAGAATCAGTAATGAATAACCTCTACCGAAAATCGGACTTCACCAAATTCTTGCTTCATTTTGAACCATATTCGCTTTGCCGGCTTACACTTGCCATAGAATCAAACTTCATAATCTGTTTTCCTCTTTAAGTACAGGGGGTTTTCATGATCCTCCTTTATCAACCCGGCAGAATTCAGGTGTCGGTTGAAAATAAAAGCAACAGTGGACTTATTTCAAACTAAGCATCTCAATACTTTAAGTAACAGGGAATCGAGTTTTCATTGTCAGAGATTCATATTTGATTCACTGTGAAATTTCTTATTTGGAGGAGCAATGGCAATCTGAAAGTGTTTCTATGGGCTTTAGAGTTTTTTGCAAACTTATCATTAAGTCAAAAAGTCAACGCCCAGCCATGCATCTTGACAAGTTTATCAACAAGACTGACATTAACCCCTTCGAAACATCTTTTAGACTGTTTTTAAACATCGTCCGATCAGTCCATAGACTCTCTCGCTATTTCGCCTAAAGTATGTTAACGACTGCTGTTTAACTTTGAACTAGCGCTCAGAAAGCTGACCTTGCAAAGCTTTTTTTGTCATGATTGTTCAAATTATGCATTAAGAAAGGAGTTAAATAAGTCATGATATTTTAACTGAATACTGACGCCTTTCCCTTTGGCTTCTTTCTACCTAGATTTATGCTTAGTATTCATTTTATCTTGATTATAGATGATCAAAATTTCAAACTACTTTTATATTTTATTTTTCTTCTACCCGACTGATGGCTCTTTTAGGCCGTCAACCCACATATTTATGAATAAATAAGTTATACGCGGTGTTACTCGGGAAACTTTTAAACGAGGGAATTTCGATTAAATCTTTATCATTCTAAATGGTTTGCTACAGGCATGGCTATGATAAAACGGCAAAAAATGTGTATAAAATTTTAAAAAAATACTTATTTTTATAGATCGCTTTTCGCCGAGGCTTTAATTTGGCGCCAAGCGTAGCAAATGAAGTTAGAGATGAAAAGCTATTTTCTGGTTTCGTAAAAAATAAAAACTCATGGTTTTCTATAAGTTGTTGTGCCCGAGAGACATCGAAAGAAATAAGTCCCCGTTTTTAGTTATTCTTGGCTATGTTCTTGCTTAAGATCAGGGAGAATTGAGCCTTTTTTGTTTCCATTTAGAAGATTAACATTATAGTGTCACCTGTGAGCATATTGTCGCATGAAAATAACGACCTGGACTTTTTCCTAACGAATCACCAAAGCTCTCGAAAACCTCAGGCCAGCTTACCCAATGGCTGGAGAGTTGGCGCGAAGTGTCTTGTTAAAGAAAAAGAACCGCCCAGGCAGTGTTAATGAATCATTTCTCTCATGAAGATCCTCATAAGTTGCAAACATTGCGTGGTTAAGCTGAATACGCCATACTGAAATGAAGCTGATACTGCGTGGGAGTAAAGTTTTCTGTCTTTTTTCTCTAAACTGTCATATGTCAATAGTGTTCTCAGCATACATCTGCGGCAAAAGGAATGGAGAAAAAAGCAATTACTCGGTCTTTAATTGCACCCACAAATGGTTTTTGCGGCATCAGGCCCCTCGACTACCGTATCCCACGCGCAACTAAGCCATTTATTTCTGCCGTGCGATTATTGTTTCGAAACAGTGCAACGCTGCTAACTTTTCAAACAGAGCCAAGATCCTTCCTCATTTCGCATTCGCAATATGACACATTAATTTACTTCGGCAATTTATACCTGAGATGTCCTTTGTTTTAGTTATCCTTGTTGTGTCTTCAATCAGCGGACCATAAAAAAAGGTTGCTAAAGATTGTTGTGAGCTGCGACTCAGAATCAGCACGCATTTCCCTAATATCAGATTCATGATATTGATTTGAAAAACCCAAGTCGTTTTTTCCCCTGGAAAAGATTGAGAATTGATGAAACCCTTGAATTTACCCTGGTTTTCGTATGAAAATAAAAGCCCTCCGATTTAGATATTATCTTCACAAACACAAAATTCTAGAAAGAAAAACTATTTATAGATAATAAAGGCGCGTTAATGGCAATTTCTTGCCGTTGAGTATTTGAAGTTAGAAATGAAAGAAGAAATTCATGAGAAATTTGCATCAAATTATCAAGCATCTAATTACTTTAGCCTATAGCTGATATATGGAAAACAAAACAGCAAGTTTGGAAAAAAAAAAACAACAACATATTCGATGCACGTGCTTCTTTTATAGCTATGAGGAAAGAGTATTAGCCAAGGACAATCAGAGGGACACAACAGCTAATTTATAGATACACGTCTTTTAATTTCGGTTTCACTGTTTTGTGCTAGTCGTTTTAATCCGAGCGATGTTCATAGCTATCGCGTCTTTGCTACCGCCCGAGCGTCGGAGTACTCGCTTATTTTCTCAGTTCATCTCTCAATGGCTATATTAATTACTCTCGGCGGAGTTAGCTTTAATGAATCAACCCGTTGCGAGATCCATCTGGACTTGGATCTAAGTAGAGTTAAAACGCGGAATCGAATCAGCACATTTTGAGTTTGGAATCATTACCAGTCCTTGGTAAGGTTAGCTAAGTCGCTTTTATTGCTAAAACCTGCTGCACGGTGTCCATTTTAAAAGGGAATTCGTGCTTATCCTTTGGGTACGACAAAAGGTGAGTGCCTATATATCATGTAGTGAAGTGATTAACAATCATCCTTATATATCCGCCGATCAGCCTGCCGTGGCCCTGGATCACCCAGCTTTTTAGTCCGCTCAACAGTTGTTTCCACACCGATTTACTTCAACCTAATTTGATTCAGCAGCATGTACAGTGACACCTGCATACTGACGTACACTAACGGGACTAGCCTCTTCAAGGCGTTCAGATCGTGGGATGGTGTGAAGAGATGCCGCCACCTGGTTTCAGTGGTTTGCTCAATGGGATAAGCGCCGGTCTGCTGAGCGGGAGGTCGCGGATTCAAACCCCAGCCGGACCAACACTCAGAGTCTTTAAATAACTGAGGAGAAAGTACTGCCTTTGTAATAACATCTGCAAACAGTTAGACTTTCTAGTCTTCTCGGATAAGGACGATAAACCGTAGGCCCCGTCTCACAAGCCCTTGCACATGCAATAAATCTGTGGGACGTTAAAAAATCCACACACTCTTCGCAAAGTGTAGGGCTTGTAGTGCCCGGTGCAGTGGTCTATCTCACTTTCACACTCATGTATGAGGGCATCATTACTCATTCCTTCATTACTTCTAAACTGCACCTAAGCAGTCTGGCAAAGTCCCCCAATCAGTGCTGTAAATTATTCCTGAAAAGTCTTGAGGGGAGTGGTTAATAAGATATTTACAATTTACAATTTACAATTAGATGTGAGCAAACGCAGGATACTTTGCACAGCACTCTACTATCTAAACGCCTGGAAAAGGCCACTGACCTTTCTTTGGTGTCAGCTAAATACAGGTTCGTTTTAGTAAAAATAAGGTAACCGGAAACGTTTGAAACATAGTGAGCAACTCGTCCGCTTAATACAGGGTGTCCTCTTAATATGGGGTCCGCAGGTTTCATTGTAGTTGAATTTTCATGGTTACATCTGCTGAAACGAAGAGAAACAATTAAAAGGTCTTGAAACATCCAAGGCTAGTAATCTTATTAAGTCCAATCCCGGCTCCTCTTCCCAATCGCTACTATTTAGACTACTTTGAACACCAACGAATGCAGAGAGACAAGAGTATCTGTAACCAAGGGTCTTGTGATATCTCATCTTGTGGCATTTGAAAACAAACATACCTCTTCAATGGGCCCTTTGCGCGAAATGGTCTCATGGAACAAAGACACCTACCTGACCTAGCTTGCTGGATACAGTAAGGAGACAAGAGGAAAGAGATTACTTCTTCCAAAAGTAATATCCTTTCTTTTCAAGGTCACACAGCATTGTTTCCCCTTCAGCAAAGCCGTTTTTGTACCATGTGCATGTGATCGTTTCGTGCAAGGGCCCATACTTCCACACTGTGTCCGACATAGGAAATGAAGAGGAGACTTATTTGTATTCCCAGACTGTCCTAAACGCAACTACTTTCCGTTTTGGTGCTCTGTGGTTGAGGATTGAATGTGCGAGATTTATTAGCCTGAGAAAATAGCCGACATTTTGGCGACGATACCACTGCAGTTTCCCCGCCAAATGACATCAATCATTTGGCGGGGAAACCAGTGGTAGCGTCGCCAAATGCTCAGGCTACGAGATTAGGTGAAAGACGTTTTCTTCCACTCCCCGGCAATCGACTTTGTTACTTTTTGGGGGGACAGGGTGGGGGAATCGGTTCTTGGTAGTCCTAAGACCACGCGCCTAAAAGAAACGACGGGCTCTGGGGACGAGAACGGGATTCAACACCAGTCTCACTCGTGCCATGCGCAAAACAAAAGATGAACTGAAAACGGAAGGGAAAACTAAAACTCTCTTTCTTCGCCAAAATAATAACGTTTCTGGCGAAGATGTGGCGAGGACTGAGGGTATACAGCGGGGTTTGTCCAGACCCGGAATGTCATACAAAACTTTATTTTCCATCTTATGCCTCTTCGAGCGTTGAATGCACAGGCTGTGGTCAACACCATGCCAAAGACTATCTTCTTAACGTGGAAGACATCGAAGACCCTGATGTGGCTTTGCGAAGTCTCCTTCGTTCCGTTTTGCTCGGTCACATGTCGTCTAAGACCACGCCAGACCTAGTTAAGGTCAAAGGATTTTCAAACTATCACTGTAAATTATTGTCACCGCTTTTAACACATTATGGCATGGATAAACGAACGGGAGAGGGAAAGCTTTTGAGCGAAATGGGGCAAGGAGAGGTCTTCGATTGTGCACTACTGGGCGATCGTGCCTTTCAAATCGAGACAGAACATATAGATACTGCTGGTTATGGTAGAGACAAAACGGGCTCGTTGATGTATCTGAAAAATACACTTGATGCGATAAAACTTGTTAACGACAACGATGAAAGACTTATTCCTGTACATGTTGACGGTGATGGCCATTGTCTCGTTCACGCTATTTCGCGCGCTCTGGTGGGGCGAGAAATCTTTTGGCATGCTCTGAGAGCAAACCTTAAAAACCACCTGAAAACTGAATTGCACAAGTACAAAGGGTTGTTTAGAGATTTTATTCATGATGAGGAATGGAAAGACATCATATCTGAGGCAGACCCATATTTTGAACCTCCAGACGGAGAGGGACTTGGTTTGAGAAACATCCACCTTTTTGGTCTTGCTAATGTACTGCACAGACCCATAATTCTCTTGGACAATGTATCGGGTATGCAGTCTAGTGGGGACTACACTGGAATATTTCTTCCTGCACTGATTCCAGAACACAAGTGTAAGAAAGACAACATTCTCAATAAACCACTTGCAGTTGCATGGAGTAGTTCAGGGAGGAACCATTTCATCCCTCTTGTAGGTGTAAAGGGCAAACCGCTGCCTAAGCTCCCACAGTGGTTGATTCCCAAAGCATGGGGCATACCAAATGAAGTTGTTAAGCAGTATGTTGAATTTGACTCCCAGGGTAATTGTTTTATTGGCGGAGAGCGCTGTCTTCAGGAAAAATACCTCCAAAGGTTGGTCAAAGCTATGGATGACCTGTTTTTGAAGGTCAACAGCATCTCAGCAGAGCTCGTTACCGAGGTTCACCAGTTTGTTTACAAGCCATCTGGAATGGTTGGGGTTAAACCTGAAACAGTTACCAAATCCACAAAGGTCGCTGTTGCTGAAGGACGGCTCTACAGATGTCTTTCCTGTAATGCATTGTCTGAGGTGCATGTTGACTTTTCATCAGAAATGCTTAAACAAGGTGGAGAGCTGTATGAAATTGCTGTTCAAACTCATGGGCAACTTAGAGAAGGATTAAGTTACACGTTTCCAGCTCATGACCTGACTTGTGTTTTTGATGCTGAAAGAAATTCATTGGTGGCTGTTAAACACAAGGTATTAAAAACTGATCCTTAAAACTTGCTCAATATGTAGATTTTTTTTTTCTTCTTTTGTCTCAGATTCATTTCCCTAATGCTAAGGTACGTAGAAGGGAGTAAAAATCAAACTCTCAGCATTACAGCTGTTTTGGATAACACGCGACCTGTGTTGTCAAAAACGTTTCAGGATTTTGGGTTTTCCTTCGAGGTCAATAAACCATTACTATATCATCCAATCCTTGCTTGTCAAAAAAGGCGGCAACAGTTAGCAGAAGCTGCAAAATTAAATGTTGGAGGGAACGAACCGACCCATATCCGTGTTTCTTCTAGATTTGGAAACTATATAGGAACAATTTCACCGAATGAGTTAAGAAGGCAAAAAAATTGAGAGCTTACATGTGAAAAGGTTACATTTCTCAACAGAATATCAAGGCACAAATCCTCCCGATCCACAGGGCAGAGAGTGTGGAAACGTATTGTGCATTTCAAAAACATGCGAACTCTGAAGTTCAAAAGCAACGAACACTCACAAAATGGATCGGAATCCACCAATCAAAAATTACAAACCATGACCTTTTGAACCTATTGAAGTAAACTTCTGTGTTCTAAGGAGTCTGCTAGAAAGTGTGGAGCCTTTAGATTTTGATTGACGTTGCAGAAAAACCCAAAATCTAAAGACCTTTTTGACATCACAGGTCGCGTGTTATCCGAAATAGCTGTAATAACCACCTACTATACAGGTACCTCTGTTTAAAAGGTACTATTATTAAGATTAATCTTGTGGTTATGATTACAATTATTATTGTTATTATTATCAAATTTAAAGGAAGATATGATTGTAGCTAAATTTAGGGTTAGGATTAGAGCTCATTGCCTGTACATTAGTGCAGCAGTGCTCTACATGTACAGTGTGTACCAACTGAGTTGTGAAGACCCATACATTTGGAGCCAGTTTGTGGAGTTTATCTTAACTCATAAAAAGAATAAAACATATGGAATAATGATGATTATATGAACTGCAAAAACATAAATTTATTTATTGTGAGCACTGCGGCACTAATGCAAAAGCCATTGGTTTGGGTTACAATGTAATTTGCAGTTGCTTTAATTGCTATTACAACTGCAATGATCTTTCCTGAATTAGTTTTCATTTGCCTAAAGAAGCATTAAATGCTTTGCGCAAAATACAATTTACAATCAGAATGAACTTTTGAAACACCCTGTAATTGCCAGTCAAAATCATGATTATAGACTCTGAGTCATTATTCGAGCACTGGACTTGCCCATGGAAAGCCAAATTTTAAGAATCAGTGGAGTTGGGAAATAATGCACAGTATGAATCATTACCAAAGGTTGAAGGTCAAAAAAACGCGATTTTTCAAATACATTATATGTAACCTTTCTCCACCTATTTTCCAAATATACATATCAATAATTTGCTCTGCAATGATATTGATTCATAGTTATTTTGGTAAATGCAGGCGATTTTTCCTGCCTGTTGCATTCATGTTTCCCACCTCTTCTTTACATGTTCTTTTGGATACTGTGTTAAACCAAAATTAATAATCATGATAAAACAATGTTATACACCTGTAGGATGAGTATTAGTACATTGTATCCTCAAAAAGAGGTTGGTTTTAGTAAAAGTTCGAAGATCAAATGAAACACTAGGTAAGATTGAACTGCATTTCTTGATGTATCTGACAGGTACATTTGATTTCGGGTTGAGGTAAACGCTTTTCGAACTGGCAAAACTAGTGTCCAGGTCAGCAGGATCCTATACATGTAGATGACTGTATTCCTTCAATTACCTACATTCATTTTGTTGCTTGTAGAATATGACTTTACTTGAATGTCATCATTGCCATGGTCCTCTTCGCCGTGTCAACTCAGATGGCAGTGTAGTCTATGCAAATGGTGACAGAACAGCAACACCCGTTGAGGGTAAAAGCCGATGTGGCTGTGGCTTTAAACATTATTGGAATGGACAAGAATATGACAACATGCCAGAGAGGTATTAGAATGAATCATTAAATTTAAAAAATGACCATTGAATTGTATTCTTTGCATGCATATTATTTATGATTAATACAGTGATAAAGCCAATATGCATAAATAAAGAATGATTCAAGTAAATTTTGTTTCAAGCTACTGAAACTAATTTTTTGGGATTGATACAAGGTTTGGCTTATATTCTTATCCTTCAAATATGTTTGTCAGATTTCAAAAGAGTGTGATATGCAATGACAGAGTGTTCATTAGGCATCAGAGATCAGAGAATTCTTCGTTAACTATGTAAAATTCTCCGGCTAATGTTCAGTAGCCTGTGACTATTTTTTATTTAGATGAGGAGCCTCTTTCAAAATATTCTCCTGTAATGTTACACCTTTCTCCTGCTACTAGAATTCTTAAAAAAAACCCTGCAATTATGCTGACCTTAAATTGCAGTGTGATTACAAAGTGGATATACAGGGGAACCTCAATATATCAAAGGGCCAAGGCACTGCCAAAATATGTTCACTATAACAAGGTTTCATTATACTATATGGAGGTTCTTTTTCATATATTTAACTATTACTGGGACGAAGAATATTACTGTATCATTTGTTATGGGGAGTAGTTTGTTAAAGGTTTGTTAAATCAAGGTTTTCCTATAGATATTTTCTGGAACCACACAAGTACCATAAAATGTGACACAACGGGGGTTGGGGAATGTGAATCAAAAATCATTTGCAGTGAAATACATGTTTCCTTCCTTTTAATCTTTTTAGTTTTCCTATTAACTTGGAGTGGGGTGGCCAGACTGTCTCAGAGATTGTGTACTGGTTCCAGTATGAACAGGATACTTCACTTAATTCCAATGTCTATGATGTTGCTGCCAAACTTGTTCAGAAGCACTTTCCTGGAGAATTTGGAAGTGAGCGACTGGTTCAGAAGGTGGTGGACATTATTTTAAGACAGACAGCTAAAAAAGAAGGTGAAAACAAAGGTGAGAAAATTGAATGTGGGTAAATTTTGTGACACAGCTCCTTGAAATGCAGGGATAAGTTTAATACCGTAAATCCCCTATGAAGCCCCCCTGGGGGCTTCTTTATTTCAAGCCCATTTGGGGGGGGGGGGCTTAATAGAGACAGGGGGCTTTTTTAATTTAGAAAAAGACAAAAAAGTAAAAAAGAAAGTAAAAAAAAAGGATAAAAAATTGAATGTGGGTAAATTTGTGGACACAGCTCCTAGAAATGCAGGGATAAGTTTAATACCGTAAATCCCCTAGGAAGCCCCCCGGGGGGCTTCTTTATTTCAAGCCCTTTTGGGGGGGGGGGGCTTAATAGAGACAGGGGGCTTATTTAATTTAGAAACAACGACGGTATCAGTTCTCCACAAAGAACTAGGATACAAATTGGAAAAGCTCAAGTACAAGAAGTTTTAGGTCGTGCAGCCGAGGATCAGAATCAAATCTGATCTTC